CCTTGAAGGATACATGAATCTCTTTTCTTTAATCCCATCATAATCCTTATAATTTTCTTTTGTATCATAAAAAGTTTTGTCATGTATGAAGAATTGCCCCAGAAGATAATTCCATATGTCATCACAGAATGTACATTCTTCTCTTATATAAGCAAAATAAATCATTCTTAAGCTACTTAATGATATCATAGGCTTAACTGTTCTCATGAGAAAGCAAGACGAACTCAATTTAGTAACAAGGTAATCAATATGATTCTTCCAACACAGCCTATTATTAATATTTAGGCCTAAAAATTTAATACACTCTAAGTTAGTCAATACATTTTGATTAATATTATTATGCATATTATGATCCTCATAGTTCATTAAAGTGAAAAGGAGAGTGTGGGTTTTATGAATATTTAATTTTAGCAGATTGGTTCTGAACCATGTATTAATATTGTAAAATATTCTGGTCATGGTTGATTTGTAGTCAGCGTATTCCGGATTAGTGACAATTATACTTGTATCATCTGCATATAAGAATACGTTTGTTCCATTAATTGAAACCTTACTTATGTCATTTATATACAAGAGGAAAATAAGTGGGCCAAGAATTTAACCTTGGGGTACACCAAATTTTACTTCTGCCCAACTAGACGAGCTATTAATAGAACTGTTAGGGCCAAGGGTTACTCTTTGATATCTTCCATTCAGGTAAGATTTAATTAAGGCACCAAATTTGCCAGTTATTCCATAAAACTCTAATTTTTTGATAAGTATATCGTGATTGATGCAATCAAAGGCTTTGTGTAAGTCGCAAAATATTCCTCCAACAAACTGTCTATTATTCATTGCTTTTAGTATTTCCTCTATTAATTTGAAAGATGCTTTCTCTGTAGATGAATTAGGTCTAAAACCATATTGATTATTGTCCAATATAAGATTATTGTCTATATGTAGACACTCCTCCCTTCTGTAGTAGCTTCCTTCAATAATAAGCACCACAAGTAAATTTATGAATAAAAACACATTGGATTTCCTGCGAAGTTAAGTGGTGTTCAGTGAAACATAATATATGAGGCAATTGCTGTGACAGATGACATAAAATTTCATTACTTTTCTTTCGAATACCACATATATTCTGATTGAATATGGTTAGGTTAGCCTTATCTAGTGAGTTAAACGTTTTACAATTCTTTTGCTTAACATTTAAATTCCTAGAATTATTAGAATTATTAGAATTGTTATGATTATTGATATTAGTAAAATTATTAACATTGTAGTGATTGGAAGATGAGATTAGATATGTGTTAGGTTCACTTTTCATACTTGAACTCTTGTATTGAAAGTTTCCCACGTGCCCTTCATACCCACCGCTGTATGAACTTCAAATCCTACAATCATTAATCTGGTATACCAGCTTTGGTTATCGACCGAGACATCGTATTCATTTGGTCAGCAACATGTTTATAAGCCTTACCACCAGATGCCCCTTGAAATACTGTAATTATTTTCTTGAATATGGCCTGGTGAGTCAGTGGTTTGTAGGGAAAGTATGAGTATTTGTAATGTTTTCATTACATAATGGCATATAAGATCGAAAGATTTCGAAGAAGGAACTTGAAAAGACATTGAGTTAGTCCACACACTTTCTCTAGATTCAGCTCTATTATACTTGTCGAGTTAGAAGTATGCATATGACAACTTGACCGATCTTGACCATCTTGACAGCCACACTGACACTTAGCTGGTAAAGTGTATTTTTCTTGCACGTAAATTTATGAGGTAGAAACTTGCGCGTAGTGACTTAGTTTTATGAACTGCTGGTATAGCGAGAGTGTCAGATGTAGGTAGCGGTACAATTTATGTAATTCGTTCACTTTTGCTTCTCAGCAATGACATCCATGCTAATCTAGTTGACTGCTTGTGATGGGATAATATAAGTCCTTGATTTATTTCTCGCTGTCTTGAAATAAATATTTATCGTCGACCAGAAGACTGGTAATCGATACATTGGAGAAGTGGATTTCGTTGTATTTGAGGTTTTTACAGTGGTGACTGAAGTGGGCGGCAATTTGAGTTTAAAGCACGGAGAAAGCACGACGTTTCGGAGGAACGTATCGTCACAATCTTTAGGGTTGAAGAGTGGGGTGCTTCTATGGTAATACTTATATACGTAAAAGGAAACAGAAATTTGTGAAAATTACGAGGTATCAGCTTACTGTGTGCAGCATACAAATTTTATGCCAAAATCATTTCAAGAAGAATAATAAGTGAACCCTTGCATAATGAAGAACAAAACGGATTTAAAAGAGGAAGGTCTTATATGGACATCATGTTTACAATTCAGCAGCTCCTGGAAGGACCGAGAGTATAATGTAGAAGCATGTTTGTTCTTCATAGAAAAGTATTTGATTTGGTTTTATGAAAAGAAGTTATGGGAAATAATGGCAGAAAAGGGATTTCGACACATTTAATAAGAACAGATCAAAGTGTATACCAAAATACATAATTTCCTTATACATGCAAAATTATAAAATCCAGATCACAATGAAAATATTACATGCAATGAAGGAAGACAGACAGATTCCAAAGAAAATTCTAACACACAACCAAAGGAGAAAACGAAACATAGGATGCCCACAGTTAAGCTGGAGAGGTCAGCATACTTTTCAAGAGGATGGAGCAGACCACCTATGGCCTAATCCATAATGATGATGAGGACAAAGACGACGACAGTCCAAACAGTAAACCAGCAGAGCCACCTGCTTCGCTGGTTTCCCTCTTGGCATAACCAGTGCAGTTCATGTTTCTAGACTTGTGTAGTAATTAGGAGTGGAGAGGAGTGTAATTTTTATATTAACATGTGTTTGTGTTATACATCGTGGTTTGTATGTTGAGTAACAGTTACGTATTTATTTTCAGAATTGGTAGAATGCCTACACAAAGGGCTCTGCATTTGCAATGAAATAAATCTAGCTGAAGCAAATGGATCAGCCAAGAGGTTCACAGGCACCAGCACAGCACACAACACATAGTAATGCTTCTGTTTCTTTTCTCAGATATATTTACTTAGATTAAAAGTAAAGTTATGCCTGTAACAGGCCGTGAAGGCCCATAGGGTTATGAGATGTTGAGGCTCCCACATTTTCTCTAGACAGTCAGCTCACAGATGGCAGTAAGGTTGACAGCCTTATGTGCTGGCCACCCTTTACCCCCCAGGAAGATTCCTGGTACTCGATCCCAGGGCCATAGTTCTGCTGGAAGGATTAAGTCAATTGAAAAAAAAATTCAGTGACCTCATCCAGAATTAAACCCGTGACCTTCTGGCTTGTAGCATAGTGCCTCAATCAACTACGCTACTGTGTACCCCAATTATTTAGATTGCCAAATATATAACAAGAATGGAAAGAGTATATTCTGTAATGTGTCAGACTTCCCAGGTCAGTACATTTGTGGCTTGTTTATAAATGACATTTGAACAAAATACAAAATGTATTCAATAAAGAAAAATTATATTTCAACATGATGATATGCACAGTATCAAATAACAAAATCTGGAAAATCGTTTGTGGAAAAATCCATTTATGGCTGTACATGAAGTAAGTTTGTAGTTAGTCAATGTGGCTAAAAATCAGTGTGGCCAGTTAGTGCCATACAAAGACCTCTCATATCAAATTTCAAGAAAATTTATATAGCAGTTTATAACATGCATGGAACAGTTCATTTATGACCATATATAGAGTAGATTTTGTGATTTATGAGTATTGCTAAACAAAATTGGCAACTGATGTTATATATATCTTCCATATCAAATTTTGCCAATGTTTCATTAACAATTTATGATGTTCATGAAAATTTAATTTATGTCCTTATTTATTTATGTCCTGAAAATCCTTATCACATCACTTTAAATTCTCTTCTTTGTGATGTCTCCACCCAGTAGGTCTCATGGTATACTGCAGGTAATTACTCCAGTTTTGAATTAAATCAGAGGTCTTAGGTCAGGGTTCATACAGATTTGTTCAATAGCTATATAGAAGATTTAGATGGCGTTGGACTGTTTTATTAAGTGCAGTAAGGTTGTATGAAAGATAGTGGCAAGTTTGGTTCACTTGTTCAGTTTGCACTCCAAGTACCACACCACACAGTTCTAATTTATTAATAAATTGAAATTCTGGTCTATGGTCTGTACTCTACACTCCATTACTAGGTTAATTGTCGACTTATAATGCATGTCATACCCAAGGAAAGAATAATTTAATCTCCTCCTATTCTGTGACAACTGACTGACTTTCAGCTTATGACTTGCATGACGAATAACAGACTTTGCTGATTTTTGTCCCCTCATAGTTTCCCAAAGGGGCATGTGGTAGTGTAGTTGGTTGAAGCACTACACTACAAGCTGTATGGTCACAGGTTCAAGTCTTGATGAGGTCGTTGGATTTTTTTCAGTTGACCTAATTCTTCCAGCCGCACTATGGCCCTGGGGTTGACTCAGCCTCTATCAGAAATGAGTACCAGGAATATTCTTGGAACATTCTTGGGGATAAAGGGCGGGTGGCATGTAGGGCTGACAACCTTGCTGCCATCTATATGAGCCAATTGTCAAGAAAACGTGGGAACCTCAACATCTCACAACCCTATGGGCCTCCACGGCCTGTTGCAGGGATACCTTTACTTACTTTTTACTTTTACTTTACATGGTTTCCCAAACGTTTGACACCACCACAGTCTTCAGCAGTTTGTATGGCTGTGAACTGCAGATGGTGAGAGAACATGATGAAATGAAATTCATAGTTTCTGAATTTAGGTTCCTGATATGTGTTGAGGGACGAGGTTACTAAATAACAGAAGAATGAAAATATGTAAGACACTAATTGATAATCACATTCAAAGAGTGAAAGGTGAAGGATCTGTGAAACAAATATTAAAGTACACCCTGAACTGAAGAAGGGATTTCAGAAACACTCTAGTTAGACTGACAGGTTTATAAAATGAAAATGAGCAGAACAGATTAAAGAGACCTAGTCAATGACACTGAAGGAGAAAAAGGTAATGGAAAAGGGTGGATTGTTCTTATTATTAGAGTATTTTAAGTTTTGTCAGATGAGCATTACAGCATCAAGCAAACGTTTTCCTCCCATATCAAAAGACTCATAATGTCTCAAACATTTTGTCATTGAGATTTTATCAGCTACCTTTGCAGTTTCTGTTTGATGACATCACACAGTGCTCAGCAGTGGCTTCCTGAAATTCACATGTTTAGCATGAACTCTGTCACCAGTAAACCCTTTCACGACCAAGAGCATAGCAGTCAACAAATTTCTGCACATAAATGTCTATGTTTTTGAGAACCCATATGTAGCCATCACATGGCCTCCCCTTTGCTTTGGAGATCCCAGTTGTGAATACACACACATTTCATTCACTGTCATTCCTCTGTGTTCACATCTTGTTTAAAAAATTTGAAATGTTTGTTGAAACTTTCAGAGTGGTATCTCTCCTGATCTGCAGTGTGCATTCTGGTACCCAACAAGGACACTGGACATAAGTAATTCTTCATTAATAATAAAATCCCATATAGTATTCTTAAATAGGTACTTCAGATTTTGGTTTGACATTCTTCTATTATCATAACTTTCACTTTCTCAAGAATATTCTAATTAGAAGCTTTACCAAGACTGTTTGTGCTAGCAGATGTAATGTATGTTGTTCAGTGGGACTTATGTCTCTGTATCACTTGTACTCACATTGCAGGTGAAGCAAATTCCAATCCCAGGCCAGAAGGCACATCTGCAGCCCCATGTAGCAGCGTCCTCTTCCGTGAGATTCATAAAAATGCTTGGCTTAAAAGATTACCATCTATGGATAAGAAATCCACAGGGGCTTTTCCAAAGGTATGGCATAAACCAACATTATTGCAATTTAAAAGTAAATATATGAGAAGTCTATTATAATGAGAATTCATAACATTGTGAAAAATTGGTTCATAACTAATACTCATTATGGGCAGTTTAGTACCCAAAAATATAATGTGGCATGCTGCCTAAGAGCCGAAATATCTTGAGTCAGAGCAGCAATCCATTGCTAGACAACAGCTTGTTAAAACACATGGCCGGGACAACAAGCTGGAAGAGACCATTGCTGAGCAATATTCTGTAAACACTGCCTAAGAAGCTGGAATACTGAAGTCGTAAAACAGCAGACGTCCATTGGTGAGCAAGAGCTCAATAAGTGTTGTTCCCACAACAACCAATATGCTAGAGATAAAATCAACATATTACCTAAAAATGAAAACACGTTCCTGCGGTAACGAATAGACAGCTACCGATACACTAGCTAACACAGGAAATGAAACCCTTGAAGAAAGTGTCTTCTAGTCTATCCGACTGTAGAAGATAAGAGATCAGAGAAGACCAGAGCAGAGGTCAGATCAGAGGAGACCAGAGAATAATTGAGAACAGGTCAGATCAGAGGTGAACGGAGCAGAGCTGGGAGCAGAAGAAAGCGGCTCAGCCAAGAACCAGAAGACGAAACATGAGAGACGACAGGCTAGTCAGGTTGCATCGTCTGGGAAACGTTATTTCAGAGTGATTGTAATTGTAATTATAATTGTAAACGAGTTATCAAATAAACAGCTTCAACTAATCTGGAACCATTACTTCCTTGTCACATTACCAGGCGATGTGACAGTATCAGTTGCTTCAAGACTTACACAGTTATATTGTGGTCATCTAATGATAATTCTAAATACAGACTTCACATAGCCACCATGCTGTTATGTCATAAATGAAATGCCTTAGCTAAAGTTGGATACTGTCTAAAGATCTATCTTACCTCAGAAGTTCATATGCCTGCCATATTTGTATTTCCAATGTTAAGAAATTAAAAAATGCAGAAGTTGAATGGCATCTAGTGTTTTGAAAATCAGTCATTTTGTTCAAAAGATGTGACATGTGGAACAGACATGTAGACATGATGCCATACACCAGATTCCCGTTCTAATGTAAGAAAAGTGTTCCAGTAGAAATAAAAAGCAGGGAATATTTGTCAGTGTACTAACATGATCACAGAATGAGAATAGAACAAACTCCTGAAATGTAATATATATCTATTGTGCCTTAGACAGTGAGCAATATGCAATGTAATTATTGTGTTACTCTTGGTATTCCATATCATCAGATGTTATTGCATCATTAAATAACAAGAGAAATGAAGAATACTGAAAATGTTAAGTTTACTTTTTAACTTAATTTGTTCAGATTCAATATTCATGACACATCTTGTCAGTGACTGTACATGTGAAAAATTTCATTTCTGACTGTTGATTTTGATGAGATATACCTTTGGTGACTCTTATTAGAGTTTTAACACAACTTAAAATTTACCTCTTCAAATGAACCTCCAAAATGAAATAATGAAACATTTTTCATTGTGTCTTGGTGAAGTTTAATGGAATGTAATGGAATCAAAATTGTACTTTCAGGCCATACTGGATAATTTGGGCATTAACTTTATGTGAAATTCAAAATTTTAACTTTGAAAATATTTTCACTTAAAATTAATTTCTTTATACCTCTTGTGACATATTAGCTGAAAGTGGAGGCAGCTTGCAAGGCAGTGGCAGGATAAATGGTGACGCAGCAGTGGAATATGTCATGCTGTGCAACATAACGAATGGAAGCACCACAGGGAATAGTGTATTCTTTGCGATCCGTGCCAATGGCTATGTCATGCAACAGTATAAAAACTGTTGGGTGGGGCCCCAAGGCTATATTACAAGCACTAACAGGACAAGCCAGTCAATCTTGATATTATGCATCCTGTTGTGTGTCATAAATAAGATATGTAAAGTATAGAGTATACCGCCTACACAACATCAGTCTGTATTCAAAACAAAGAAGACACACTACTGCATCAACATTTGCCTTTATTATGCTTATTAAAGACACATCATGTTTCGACCCTTTCATGGGTCATCATCAGGCGTACAAAACACCAGTCTGTGCTGTTGAGTTGCAATCAATTGTCGTTATATTCAGTCAGTTTAGAAAGAGTCTTGAATCTGCAGTTAGCAGTTGGGAGATAGACCTGACCACGGCTTGTAGCAGACAGCCACTCCTGGTGGAGGTGCCCCCATCATAAGTCATTGCGTAGCAATGCCGAGTTAGTCTTGTTGTGAAAGACATGTCAGCCTACAAGGACATGAGCCCAGGAGCAGAGGAACAATGTCCACTGTTGGAAGTTAACTCAGCAGCGCAGTGAAGACTACCACTGGGAACACTAGTCTGTGTGTGATATCGTGATTTGTGAAGTATAGTCATGAGATTGAGGAGTCTTTCAGGCAGTGGTTAGGGAGTACAGTTTGTGAGCCATAAGGGTGTGTGGAAGAAGACTGTGACCAGGTGATGCCTAGTTGAGAGGCGAGATTGCCACCAGCCAGAAAGGACAGAAGCTGAAAAATGTGTGGTATTGGAAACCATTACCATTCAGCCAGTGAAAACACAGCAGACTGAGAAGACTTAGCATGTGCTGTAGTGAACTGTATAGTTCATGAATTAGTGGTAGCATTAGAGTTATTTATAGTTACAAGTCTTAAAGGAGTCCAGTAAATCTGTTTACCAATCCAAACCACGTCTGTAGTCGCTCAAACATGTGACAGTATATACTACATTTAGCCCTGGGGATGCATTCCTAGAAATTAAAGCACTGACTGAATCAGAGTTATGTTGGATGATTTTGGTATAGTAGTTACAGAAGTGTGTTCCAAAAATCCAAATTTTTTACAATTATTTATAATTCCAATTATTAATTTATTTAGAATTCCATGCAGAACCTGTGTAATGTGTAAATATTGACTTTATATACTGGAAGATCAATCCAGTTATGGCTCATCTTCCAAGTAATTGTCAGCTTTCTTGTCAAAGAAGGCAGCAGGAACTGATTCCTTTGCCTGGAGCTTTTCCTTCTGAAGCATTGCTTTATAGCAGGATATCATATCAAGAACACCGTTTTTTCCCCCTAATGTTGCATTCAAAATTGAGGTCATTTTCAGTTTAGATATCCATGGCATCATTGATCTTAATGAAGTCTGTCAATAAACTTGTGGTTAATTTCTTTCCACAACATTAGCTTCTTCAGCTGTAGAGTCTTCATTGTTCTCAACAGTGGAATTTTGCAGTTCCAATTCCACCAGCTCATTTTATTACATGAATTGATCCCAGAATAAAGAAAGTTACAACAGAGTAACATAATATGGGGTAGTGTGCCATAAATTTCTTCCAAGAAACTAGCTGCACATTTTACTCATATTTGTGCACTTTTATTTCTGTTGTTATTTTACTATATGCTGCCACTGAAAATATGTCCAAATAGAATATGCAGACAATTCTTCAGAAGGTATTTGAAGGCAAGAAGTGCAAATACTATATTTTGACAGATGTTGAAATTTAATATTTGGACTTCTTAACAAAACTGAAGAAAGAAGAGATACTGTAACATCATATTGACTAATAAGGCTTCCACATAACTCCTTATTGGAAAGTGGTAACTATGTATAATTTCATCATCAGAAAAATATATTTTTGGGGTTCATTTGGTCATCAGAACCAACATAGATTGTTTTAAATGTCATTGATCAACTTATTTCCATCAGAGAGATATAACATAATGTGTTGGAATAGGCTGACTTTTGAAATATTGTTTAGGCCAGCTTTTTTCTTTGTAGAGTTAACATGACTGAAACTAATCATTAAGATGATTTTGGTATTCATTATATTAAAAAATATAACAGACAACATATGTGTACAGAATGTCATGGTGTAGTAATTAGCATTTCTGCAATGTATTTAAGAGATCCCATGTCAAAATTTTTGCCTCACATGTCCATGAAAGGACTTTTATATAATTAAAATGTAATTTTTATGTTCTCAGAAAGGGGAGCGTGTGTGGGTTGTCTTCTGTGTTCATGATGATGCAGAACCTTTCCTGGAAGTTTATGTGGATCAAAATGTGGCAGTTACACACAAACCTGACTGGTGTGTGTTGCTCAACAACTGTTTACATGTTTCACCGACCATATGTGCCCAAGAAGATGAATATGAATTTGTTGTGACATTGAGTTCAGATGTAGTGCGGTTTACTGCACCATCTTGGTAAGAATTACTTTACAGTATCACAGAAGTTAATTTTATTAAGGTATATTTAATATACATTGTTTCCTGGATACTAAATTTTCCTATATAGGAAGTCTGGTTTTCGAAGTCCCACCAAAATGCTCATTCTTATGGTTATAATGTTAAAATTTCCCATGAATAAAGATCTTGTCCATACTGTTTGCCCACTTTTAACACATTTTCCTTTAGAAAATCTACTTCTTAATATGATTAAAAAACTGATGTTTTGTACACAATGTGCAACTTTGATCATATTGCCGCATGTTGGCTGTGTGATGTGACAAATAACTTCATGCTGGTCTTGGATCTAGCGAGTTTATTGCACACTTTTATCCACACTTACATAACTCACAATTTCAGTGTCCCAATTACTTCTTCTGCTGTAGTCACTTCCAGACTTCAACTGTCTTCGGCAGCTGCAGTATTTCAACTGAACTGCCTCTTGTATTGAACCCCCTTACATATGCCTCTCTTGGACCACACAGAAAACAGCCTATATTGTTGGAACGTGTTTACCGACTGATTCGATAGCAACGGTTGCTGCACAGACTCCACTGTTGCATGATGTCACAGCCTAGCGGGGAGGGATGTTTACCGATCATTGCGTAGTGATGGGATGAGTGAGGATATGTGACGTCACTCGCAGGAACGCAGAGTTTATGTGACCCCTACTTCCTGTTGTGCTATCCAAACGTTCACAGAGTTGTCGCCTAGCAATGTGGCGATACAATCTGCAACTCTTGCATTGTGCGCATGCCCCAAGGCCTCTGTGGCTCAACAGTTCCTGCACAGAGGAAATATGCCACATTGTTCCCTCCTTAAGGCTTTTCATCCCAGATAGCCTAACAGTGCATCCCCATTCCTGTTTTCCCCGTTGTTTCTGCGGATTCCTGCTAGCAACATCTGCATTTGGTCTTGCCGTTCTTCACATGTCTTTTGCAGTGTTCATTCTCTGCATCTGCCCCCTCCTTCATGGGTGTTTGTCCCGAGCAGCTTCGTGATAGGGTGCAGGCTGGTCTAGTTGTACTACCAGTCACTCCATGTTTTCATCATCATCATTCTCCTTTCATGCCGAGGAGGTCAGTGTTTCTACATTACCGGTTCCTCCTCAGCTTGCAGTCTCTTTTTCTGTTTTAGAGGGGTCGACCCCTCCACAAGGTCCAGTCCACAATCCTTGTTAAGCCGACAGAAGATCCAGCTATTCGCTTCGTGATCTCCAGTCCAATCATCTTCATGTATGTCCTGTTAGATTCTTTCTTTTCCCTTTCTGGCTGCTGTCTTCTGCTCCATCCTCCGATGCTGTCTGTGGTTTTCCTCCTTTTCCTCAGATATAGCAGCTCTTTTACATCTCGACTTCTTATGCCCTTGCTGCATTCCAGTTTTGGCTGACATCTCCTCCCAAAAGTCTGTCCTCTCCAGATTTCTTGTACCACACTGGGGATGGTACAAACTTTTCTGGCTATGTTCCTCTTGCACCATGCTACTCTGGCACGGTGTATTGTCCCTCTGCGGGCAATGGCCAGTTTCTTTTGAGATCCACAATTTTCCCATGTTGCCTCCATGCGTGCAATGACAGTAGTTTTAGGCACCCATCCTGATTCTGTGGCCATTCCTTCATTTTTCGCTGGTTTCGGTCCCTACGCCGCATCGGTCCTCTGACTGGCATTATTTCAGCATCTTTCCTAGGGACATCGTCTTGTTGGGCCACCTCAGGTTTCCTGTCCACTGAGGTCGGCTCGTTTTCCTTGAGACATGCCTCCGTCGTTTCTCAGCAGGCCATCATCTTTACGTCTGTTTCCAGTTTGATTTCAGCCACCTTCTCCTTGTGGCTGACGTCTATCTTTTCTCCCCTGGTGGCCATCCTTTTGTCTCGCATGGCTTCTGTCCTTGCTTGGATGGCTTCCATTTATGCTCAGGTGGCTTCCGTTCTTGCAACCAGCTCTTCTCACCAGGCATTCATCTCTTTCAGTAGGAGCTGAATAATTGTTCTACAACCATTATTCATTTCTTGATAGTTGAACACTACCATAGTTGATGATCCAAAACTTGTATCTGACCTATTAACTGTTCATTTCTGGTTCCACAGTTTTCATTATTTATCTCGTACTAAGTTAAGTGCATAACTGAACATATATTTCTGCTCATTCAGTTTTCAGTATTCCTGTTTCAGTGTTCGGTGAGCGTCATCATGCATGCATGCCTTTCTAATTTTAATAAAAAAAGGAACTCTTGTTATTCCTTACATTGTGGTGTAAAATAATTTTAACAAAATTTAGTGGCGGTTCCAATGAAACTGAAAACAGTGGCTTTTCAGGAGAAACTTAATATTATGCAGAAAGTGGAAGAAAATGTGAATTTGAATTTTATTCAGATTTTAGGTGGTCCATTGTGACTTCGTGTTTTATTAGTGTTTCTTAGCACTAAAGTAAAAAATAGGTCTGGTGTTGGCACTGTTTTTCCAAGTTGTCCTGATAACATGCATTTGTGTTTTTATAAGTGAAGTGTTATGAAACAACTGTTTGGGACCAAGATACAAAAAGTGGATCCAAAGACTGAATCTAATTTTACATTTTCCATATAGAAAATTTTCCCCTTTAAGAAGATATTTTTAGGTCCCCTGAAAAACTTACCAGGGAAACATTTTACGTTAGAATCCTAGTAATACACCGATGATGGTATTGCATTATTGTGACCTGTCTCTGGAGCCAGGGTAGCACAGTCGGTATAGCGACTGGCTATGGGCTGGACAACCAAGAGGCTGGAGTTTGAGTCCTGGTAGGGTCAAGAATTTTCTCTTCCCCAGAACATCCAGATGGGCTCTGGGGTCCACCCAACCTCTTATCCAATGGGTACCTGGGGTGCTTTCCCCGGGGGGGGGGGTAAAGTGGCAGGGGCATGAAGCTGACCACTCACCTTCAGCTAGTGCCGAGGTCGAGAAAATGTGGATTTATACATCCACTCCCCCGTACACCTTCATGGCACAGTACTTAATTCATTGAGCACAGGGACAACTTTAACTTTTACCTTTTACCAAAGGGTAAATGGTCAAGAATTTTCTCTTCCCCAGAACCTCCAGACCGGCTGCGGGGTCCACCCAACCTCTTATCCAATGGGTACTGGGGGTGCTTTTTCCAGGGGTTAAAGTGGCAGGGGCATGAAGCTGACCACTCACCTTCAGCTAGTGCTGAGGTCAAGAAAATGTGGATTTATACATCCACTCCCCCATACACCTTCATGGCATAGTGCTTAATTCACTGAGCACAGGGACAACTTTAACTTTTACCTTTTACCAAAGTCTCTACACATAACCTACGAGTATTATTACATTTTTATGTCATGATAAATGTCAGGCTTTGATAAGTTTTTAGATTATTGTCAGCAGTGAATGTCCTTTATTTAATGGATTCACATCTTCTAGATACATTAGTTCCCATCTAGATGATATGCGAGAAGAGAAGTATCAAAACTAATTGAAAAGAGGTGAAGAGAGAGGCAAGGGAGACACATATACAGCAACGTAACTGAAGAATTACTTACAGAGTTATAATGTGGATGCACATAGTTGTGATAATGGTAATGAATCTTTGGTTAGCAGTGACAATAATAATTTGAATGGGAACATTTTATTGTAGCTGAAGACCATCTGTTTGACATCCACTTGATGGTGACATACCAGGAAAAGAGAAGTTATGATTTAGTAATAATGATGGCACATTAGAGTGTGTAAGTGTAAATCATACTAAACATTCCCTGGATATTTCTCTACATTCTGCTCTCAAATATCAGATATGTGGATTAAATTAGTTGAGAGTTGTACCTCCACCACCACCCTACCCATGCACGTGCACATATTGAAAAGCTGCTCTGAGTAACATGTGAGATGGGAAAAAAATAGCCAGTCTTCAGTGAGTTATAGTGTTTTTAAAAATGTTAAAGATTTTACAGCCCCCTTTTAAATTTTTGCTGTAAGGTATGAAAATTTTCATATTCTGAATGTTTGAGGTTAAGTTTTGAAACCAACTTGTTATAAGTTTGGCCTCACCCATTCTACTTCATACCAATTTTCCCTTTTCTCTTTTAAATCAGATATTTTTGTAATTATTAACATGTCATCATCTGTAGCATGGATTGAGCTGTTTAGCCTGTTCTATTTTCAAATATACATCTTAAGACTCCCTCTCAGGAATATTTAAAATGCAGCTATGATGGGAAGGCGTTAAAATTAGTCTCATCTTACAGTATGTGAAATTTAATGATAAAAGTGTTAAAAACTTGTCTCTTCATCACATTCGTATGATGGCCCAGGTCACTCTTTTTTTAGGTTCCCATTCATCAATTATTCTTGTGATACTGGTATTTTCCATTTCTCTTGAAGAATGCCATCTTCTTGGATGTGGTGCCATGTAGATATTGTGTAAACCGACGTTCCTCCAAAATGTCAGTTTACACAATGTCTACATGGCACCACATCCAAGAAGATGACGTTTTTCATAGTCACCGCCTAGAAAACCTCAAATGTTACATTCCATTTCTCTTGTGTTCTCAGCCTTCTCACTGACATCCCGTTACTCCTATATTATCAAGTTTTTCAGTTCCTCTCTCATATCTGTGCTGCTCGTATATTCAAGCAGCCATTATCCAGCCACTACTGTCAGAAAAATTGTTGCTTCTTTTACTCTGTTTTTCTGTTTTTTTAATAAAATCCAACATTTTGATCCATATAACAGACTTGGACTGCCATAGTTAACTTTATTCAGTTCTAGCAGAGTTTCATTTTGTGATTCTGTTTGCAGTATGCCAGACATAAAATATGAAAGTAATGCATTTACAGGGAATTGATGATGGAGTGGGTTGAAACAATCAGATCAAAGTTACGAGAGATGCGAATTCTATCACCGAGAGAGAACCTGTACACAAGACTGCCTGAGGCACGACTTCCACTGGCTCCAACACGGGATCCAAACTCTCCACTTCCTCCCCCACCTGCTGGTCCTTCAGTGGTTGTACCAGGTGTTGAACATGTGCAATCTGAGAGTTCAGGTGAGATTACTAGCTCTTCTCTTCTTTTCCTTTTGGATTAAGTGATGACACTATGTCAGTTGTAGATGTTTTATACCACAGAATAGGAAGTGACATTGTTATTGTGTATCAGTGCTAGTTGAGGTACCAAGGAAATTTGCATAGTGCTAATTCATCTTTTTTGCATGTGGAAGCTACCCATTTCACATCCTGCCTGAAATTGTTTATAGTTTTTCTCAGTCTCTTCAAGCAAATGGTGCCTTAAAATTGGTAATGATAGTTTCTTCCCACCTAATCTCTATATTCTCTTGTAATCATGCTACCATCTCTCATTTCATGCTGCATGTTTCATACAGTGTTATAAAATAACCAGAGAAATTAATCTAATTGAAATGAGCTAGATACATAGTACGCACAGAGAAATATGGAATGTTAAGAAATATGTTTGTATAACTTTGCAAAAAAGGAGACCTGTTGGAGATCAAGATTTTGGGGAAGATTAATATTATAACACTATAGAGAGTGGCCTGTTGAAATCAGTGGTAAACTCATAATATTAACCTTTAATGGCCGAATGTTATATATATATATATATATATGATGCAGCAGGACATGTGCACCCTTTGGGAGTGCTGACAGTTTGACCTTGGGTTTGAAACCAAAACAAACCTATGTAAGGTCATGTCAGTGGTTCATTCCTTAGCTCTGAACAATGAAATCGTTTATCACATACTGGTTTCCATACTATTTATGTTTAGATATGACTGTTTATGACCTAGTGAGCCAAATATAGCCAAGCTTTGTTTCGAGAACTGATGAGGAAATATTCATCGGTGCTTCCATGTGAGTGCTTCCAGAGCCTTCAAGGAAGTCTGATGCATTCAAGGATTGGTTTTCAGTGACGAGTTATCAATTAGGAAATCAGTGTCGGATTGTCTAATGTTTCTTTATCAGTTAAAAAGTCAGTGTGAGACTGTCATATATTTCTTTGTATATCATTTTTATTTTGTGTCTTGGAAGAGGTATAAACCCACTGAGCCAGTATTACTTTGTGAGTAAAAGGCATCTTCG